TTTAACTTTTTCGGATTTAAAGATTGTATCATCGAAAGTTCATCGTTTTGTATACATCATATACGTTGAACGAGTTATTTTTCGATTTTTTTTCAATTAACTTATACCAATATATTAATATGAAATAAATTATTTTATAAAATAAAATAAATACTTTTATGAAAGTCTATAAATATGCATGTTATGATTAATGACTTGGATCATCCAATCATCGATCGTGTACATGGAAATATAGGTCCCTACTCTAGAAAGATTATTTGGCTATAGAGAAATCAATGATTTGGTACACATACAATTCACACCTAAGAAACCAATCTAATAACACCTTATCGCCATTACATATATTTTTATAGCCTTGTTTAAAAATTAATTCAGTAGTTAAGATTAGCAATAAAACTTTATATAACAGGACAAATTAAATGAAAATAATGATATAGTTCATAATAATTATTATAATAATAAGACGTTTTTTAATACATTTATCTCACTTTTATATAAGTATCACAAACAAAGGAGTTCGAGTTTTTTAATGAGAAACGAATATTGTTATCTTGAATTTTAATGATTTTGGCAAAATTGAATTCAAGATTAAATTATCATCTTGCATTATTGCACAATGATTAAAAAATAACAATATAATATAATATTAACCTCAAATTACATAGCTCATCTTAAATAGAATTATTTTTAAGATGTAAATTAATATATTATGCATAATGATGATATTGTAAACATTCTAGAAATACATATTTTAATGAAATATGAAGGATATAAAATATTTTATAAGGATCTAAAATTTCTGCGAATTAATAAATAAAAGCCTCTAAACATTTTAAATTAAAAAAAAAATTCAACTAAAATAGAAATAACATTATGGTCTGAACGAACACCGTATCGCAGTAAAATGTTTGTAGGGTACAAAGTATTAATTTATTTTTATATAGGAATTATTAAACATTTCAATAATGTATATTGTATAATATTGTATGTGAATAATTAGTTAGACTAGAATAGACCGATAATAGCTAAAACGTTTTGATATTTAACGAAGTAATGATTAAATTTCTCTAGATTCTTACAGATAACAAAAACTATAAAGTACGTCAATATATTTCATGTGATTTCATTTACTTTGTATATGCAGTGGTGAACAGTGATGTCATCCATAGTATACACCTATGCGCTTAAATAATATAAATTACCTATTATAAATTTTAAATTCAAGAAAATATTAAGATTTTGAATTTATTCAAATACCTATAGGTACAATAATGAAAGTAGAAATCGTTACTATACTGATTTTAGATATTCTCGTTATCAGTGGAATAACAGCAGAAAATGTTATTGAATACAAATCACATACAGGTATATTTTTAAATTTTATAATCTATTTTTAATATTTACAACCACATCAAACATTATTTTTTGATACAAGTAATAATAAAATAACAACTAATAAATTATTACTAAAGTAGCTAAACATATATGACCATGTATTATTTACAAGACTATGCATATTATTAAGTTTGAGCATACATAAATATTTTAA